TAAAAAAGTAGGAGAGATCAGGACGATACATGTTTCATAGGAAAGAAGGAGAAAAGTGCACCAGAGCACTCACGAACAATCCGCCGCAGAAAGCAATGAACATCGAGCCAAGATAGTCTTGTTCAGTAACAGTGTTAGGTAAAACAAAGAAAATGATATCAATTGTTAGAATTGGCGTAAGAGCAAGCAGAAAAAAAGATTGCATTTTTTAATTTTTTTTTTGTAAAGTGTTTTACAGCGCTCGCAACTGCAAAAGGTCATATGAGCGCGCGGGACACACCTAATATTTTCATTTGGTAGGAAATTTTGAATTTTTGCCCGGGTGGCGGCCGAAGCCTACTTTTATCGATTTTAGACCACCAAGGTATCTTTAACGTGCGCAACTTGCACATGGGCCCTCCGAGATTTATTGCCCTTGTCCGAGAAGGCTAGGTGTAGATCTTTCCTACCAGAAGATAAGGGGTGTGGCAGAAAGACAGCAGTAAGGAGGAGCCAAGGAGTAGCAGTAGAAAGGCTGCAGAAAGAGTCAGGAGCCCAGAGGAGGGGGCAAAGGAGGTGAGGGGGTGGGGGCAGAAAGTGGAAATGAAAGCAGACAACAGAACATTGCTAGAGAGCAGGAAAGGAGGTGAAAGGAGACAATTTTAGAGAAGAAAATTTTTCGGTCGCTACCCGGATTCGAACCCGGAATGAGAGGCCAATACCTTAACCTCCAGGCCACGAGAGCCCCCAAAGATTGCATGAACACGTCGCCAGCTAGATGCAAAACCCCGACAAATGCTTAACAGCAAAAAATTGTGTTTTTGCAGGGCCTTGCATCTAGTCATAGACTTTAACCAACGTAAAATACATCAAGGAACGCCTAGCCAACGGGTAGTTCGATAAGGATCTCCATGCTGGTTAAAGGAAAGTAACGGAGAGGCGAGACTCTCTTTTGTTTGGGAGGTTAGTTCTCTCAACTTGTCAATGGAGCGAGCTGTTTTCCCTCTACAGCATTATGAGGCATGCGCACACAAGAAGGATTGTTTTTCTTCTTCTGCCTCTAGATAGCTAAAAAAATGACGTGTTCTTGGTGCAGCAAACCACGAAGCAACAGCATCAATAGATCTATAAAAGCTGCTTTGCTGAACGCTCGGGTAAATTACTCGACCATAATATTATTCTTACATAGGCATTTTCTTTCACGCTATTGTTCCGCACTTGTGCAGAAATATTGAATGGTACAAAAATAATGAATCGTGCACTGGCGCATGCTTGAACCATGAGGGGAATTCCCTTGAATAATAGATTCTAGATCAGCTCCGAGCCTAGGCCCAGGGTATATCGTCTCAAGGGGATATTTCGTGGATACTTCAAGTATGATCGGTTGTAGGACTTGCCACAAAGCACGCGAGCCAAAAATTAAGAAAACATGCAACATCTGAAACCAAAGCAAACAAACAAAAACAAAAAAGAACAAATTCTGATAGCTAGCGTTCCCCGTTTGTCAGTTGTTAATTGTGGCTTCTTACTCCAATACACTACTGGCACCGGATAATGATGATGCTGATAATAATAATAATAATAATAATAATAATAATAATAATAATAATAATAATAATAATAATCTTACTACTAATGGAGCTAAGGCCAAATTTTGCGAACAGTATATTCTCAAAAACTAAGGAATTAAAAAATGTCAAACTTTGCCAGTACCCATAACTTGAAACGTAGTGTTGCACTATTGTATTTTCATTAAGATGAAATGTGTAAGAAGAAAGCCCAGTTTAAGTTAAATTCAGTCCATTTGTAGCGATCGCCATTATTTGCTTCGACATTGTATATTCACTGCGGAGTGTCGACTGCGCCAAAGTGTATTTTGTGTTCAGTTGTACATAAAGTAAGTTTATGGGAATTCCCGGTTTCGGTCTCAAGCCTTTAGGAAGAGGAGGAAGAGGAAGAGGAGGAGGTGTAGGTGTGGATGGGGGAGGAGGAGAAATGAAGAAGAAGAAGAAGAAGAAGAAGAAGAAGAAGAAGAAGAAGAAGAAGAAGCAGAAGAAGAAAGAGGAGGAGGAGGAGGAGGAGCAGGGGGGATTAGAGGAGGAGGAGGAGCAGGAGGAATTAGAGGAGGAGGAGGAGGAGGGAGAACAAGAAGAAAAAGAAGGAGAAGAAGAATCAAGCAGTAATACATGTTACAAAGTGGTGACTTTTTCGTTTGTTACCCTACCTTGGGAGAGAGAGAGGGAGAGAAAGAGAGAGAGAGAGAGAGAGAGAGAGAGAGAGAGAGAGAGAGAGAGAGAGAAAGAGAGAGAGAGAGAGAGAGAGAAAGATATATATATATATATATATGAAGAGATAGAGGAGGCCAGAAAGCACTAACAGAGGGAGGGTGATGAGAGTGACGGAGGGTGTCATCAGCTAGATCTATGTGAATCTTAGATCGAGATTAAGAATGATGAAAGTATTGAACGGGGATTTTCCCCCCTGTGAATAGATCTAGAGTCTAGAACTAGACTGTAGGTGAATCTAGATCGAGATCAAGAATCATGAAAGTATTCTTGAAAGTGGATTTTTCCTACTGTGAATAGATCTAGAAATCTAGGCCATCTGTAACGTCTGTCGGTTGTTAAAAATGTGAATTTCTAAACTTAGATCTTTCTATGGGCCAAGGCTCCTTCTTTCAATTATTGGCCTGTGTCTTTATAATCCTTCGAGCTCTAGGCTAGATCTAGAATCTAGATTAGGTTCTTCTCGGAAGCAACAATTGTCATGTAGCCTAACTCTTTTTTTATAAAAGGTGATTGAGCTGGAACTTCAGGAGAAAATGCCACGCCTTTGAAGAGGGAGAAGAAGTCTTACTCCTAGAGGTAGTCAAGAGGAGGTGCTACATGGATAAATTCAAGGTAAAATATTTGTGTTTTGTTTCTTTCCTGTTTTCAGTCTTTTTCCTCTTCTTAACTTTCCTAATAATTCTTCATTATTATTCCGTTCGTAGAACGGGTACTTTTATTACTAGTAATAATAATAATAATAGTAATAAAAATAATGATAATAATTATGATGATGATGATAATGGTGATAATGATGATGATAATAATAATAATAATAATAATAATAATAAAAATAATAATAATAATAATAATAATAATAATAATAATAATAACAATAATAATAATTGTAATAATAATAATAACAAGCAGCATTGAGTAGAGCTCATACCTTTGATTGACATCAATCGTTATGAGTTTTACACGATACATACGTATAATATTATTACTCCAGCAAACCTCAGAACATTCGGAAACATTCCCAGCTTCCCAGGAAGCATACAGTGCAAGCAGCTAATTAAGCGCTCAAACACTAACAAACAGTCAAGATAAAATTTAATGCTTTTATTTTTTTGTTCGTCTTACTTTCTTTTGTAGAAAGAGATAACAGTTGGAGTGTTAGGGGAAACTTCCGCTGACGTGCGTAAGAGAAAAACTCTCCATAGTATAGCTCCCCCAAGCCATTTCTTGGCAGCTGAAGGGATAAATGAGGTATGTTTTCTGTCCCGTCCGTTACCAAAACTAAACCAAGACACAGACTTTTCATAAAGTACTTTTTACAAATGACTGCATTTATATGATTCTTAATATGTCTTTCAAATATTCTGACCATTTCAAATTGAAATACATTAATTGATATTAAATTATAGTGTTATCATTGCAAGAAAATATAGTCCAAATGTCCTGTCAATTGTCGTGGAATAGCTCTCCCTCAACACTGGAGGCGCAAGACGCATCTATGCAGCGGGTGCCGGATAATTTTTGTTATTGTTGTTGATGTTGTTTGTTTTTTCTCACAGCAACACCCTGCCAGTGACCATGTGCGGCTGCATTCAAGAAAAACACTTCGCGCTCATTTCATCATTGACCTTATGCAATTGTGAGCTCCACAAAACTCTTACCAACGCCCCCCCCCCCCCCCCCACAAATAAGCAAACAAAACAACAACAACAAGAGTTCTCCTTTTCAAAACAAGCAAATCCAACAAATTTCTCTAACAAGTTACAGTAGAACAGCATGTGAACAGCATGGCCTTTCGACTTTTTACAAAATAACAAAACAATCAGTAGAGACAAGTTACGCCCAACTCGCTCCAGTCGTCAAGTCGTTCAAGGGAACATCACGACATGTCCACCCATGAATGCAGGTAGTGTGTTTGTCTGGGACCTCTCAAAATGCCGTTTTTAGCACTTCGCTCCCTCAGAATTACAAATTTCTATCTGCTCAATACCTTGTCTGGAGAAATCGCTACCTCGGAATTGCAAAGTTCTATCTAACATATTTGGCTGTTTTGAGTTACTAAGACGATGAGGTCAGAAACCAATTAATATTCTATCTTATTAATCAAAATCGTAAAATTATTCAAAGTTGTTATAAAGATATCAAAATATTTGTATTTGATAAAGTTTGACAATGTTGTAAAACCTGATAGTTTTTACGTCAAGTTTGTCAAAACTAGGTACTGAGCGAATAGAACGTTGTAATTCAAGGGGAGCGAAAAGTGGCGTTAGAGATTTTTCGTTTCCCGTCATGTCAAACTTTTTCGAATGCAATCCTTTGAATATCTTGACAACCACTCCGAATAATCTGACGATTTTGATAAAGCAGATAGAACAGTTTCTGACCTCATGGTCTTAGTATATTTTACTCAAAACGGCCAACCATATCCTACAGAACGTTGTAATTCTGGGGCTGCGGTTTGTTCAAAGACCACCAAGACGGTTCAGCCCAAGAAACCCGTATAACTTTTTTGGGTTTACTTTTCCATGGCCGCAGAACCTTCTTCGTCCCATGTCTTTTCAATGTGCTGAATTATTTATTAACTGTCCGATCCTCATATCGAAGAGACATGTGACGTAGAAAGATCTGCAGCCACGTGAAAAAGAAAGAAATCGATTTTAGAAAAAATATGTAGCATATTAATGTTATGAGTTTCTTGAACTGAACCGTCGACCTCTTCTTCCCAGAACTGAAAACATCGTTCCTTCTTTTTAATGACGCACAGAGTTGTGGAACCATGAGAAAAACCGAACAGCATCTGCGACCATGACGGCCACTAGAACCATAGAACAGAACACGATACCAAGAGTTCCGATTCCTATACTGGATGTCCTGTAATCCGGTATGCTGATCTTTTTGCGTATGCTCGTCGACGTTGATTTCGGGTTTACGATAAGATCTTCATGTATTGCTCTGATCAGAGCTTGGGTTAAATCTTCAGTGATGTTCAGTTCTGTCACAGGGGCATCGGCACCGGCATCGGCAGCAGCAGCAGCAGCAGCAGCAGTAGCAGTAACAGCGTTGTCGTTGTTTTCTGTGTTCAGTATTGTATTCTGTTCAGTCGTGGCAGTTGCATAACCGGCGGGGGTAGAGGAGCTGTTTGTTGGCTCTGGAGCGTCGTCGAACCCTTGTTTTATCAACGAGGCGGTTTCTAACCCCAGCCAGTTACAGCTGTGCGGTGGGCTGTGCTCGCTGAGACTTGCAGACTGTTGGAATGAAGCAGAAAAATGAGTTGATTCAAAATAATGGTTAGTATGAGTATGACGTTGAGGTTGTCAATCAAGGGGAGGGGGGGGGGCAGCTTATATAGAATTGACCAGACAACACAGTTTTGTCAATATCCCCAATTTAATCATCTCCATTCTAACTATCTGTCTGTCTGTCTGTCTGTCTGTCTGTCTGTCTGTCTGTCTGTCTGTCTGTCAGTCTGTCTGTCTGTCTGTCTGTCTGTCTGTCTGTCTGTCTGTCTGTCTGTCTGTCTGTCTGTCTGTCTGTCTGTCTGTCTGTCTGTCTGTCTGTCTGTCTGTCGTCTAAGAAGACGAACTTTCCCAAGGTTAGATACAAACTAATGAAAAACTGAAAATTAAACTACTCTGACTTTCAGACTCCTTAATATAATAGAGCGTCCTTTAAATGATTCTTAATCAGAGCTTTTTTTCTTCAAATTCGAAAGTTACGTGGTTCAGAAGTTTTAGGCGACCAAAGTGACGAACAGTCACAAGTATGATATATATATATATATATATATATATATATATATATATATATATATATATATATATATATATATATATATATAATATATTGTCATATATAAATGAGTGATGCAAGACCAGTCTCATCAAGGAAGACAGCATCTTTTCCTAAAATGTATTATATAATCAAAATTTTCTATTATCAAGATCTTTGACGGTGTCTATGGTACAGAGATTATGCGCTCCGTCGTGATCCGCAGAAGACATGATTTCGATTCCCCTGTCGGGAGAATGTTTATCCAGTATCTTGGTCTTCTCCTGGAGCGTCGTGTCCCTCTCAGTTCGGATTGGCCCTGATTGGCAAGGGTGAAGCCTGCTCCTAAATTATCTAACTTGTGTTGATAAGGATGTAAAAATACCTATATTAGAAAGAAACAGGCTACTTTTTCTATTAATATTGTTGTTACAGTTACTCGCATTATTGATGCTATGATAGCTTTTACTCAGACTATAAAGAAAGAAGTACGCTGCGCAAAGGATGGGTTGAGGGAGTCAAAGAAACTCTGAAAAACTATACTATCCCTATTGACAGAGCTGCAGAGTAGAAAACTCCCCTTGGCGCATAAAAGTAAAAGCAAAAGATAGTGTTTTTTTTAAAAGTCAAAAGTAAAAGCAAGTAATGGTAATAGTCATCGCAAAAAGTACAAACCCATTCATCCTCTTGCACTAAAAACTGACACGCGAAATTCCCGCTTCCACTAAGGAAAAGATAGGCCGTAAAACGAACTCCCGATAGGTCGGTGTCAATCACATGATTTCCAAAATCAGCCAGCACTTGGCTCGACCCTGACAAATCGAGAGCAGTCGCTGAGCCAATCAGAACGGGAGTCCATGTCAGGGAATTTAGTGGTGTCCCGTCCTTTCTGAGAAGATGACGGCTTCCCGTGTCTATGACTACGTAGAGAGTCACTGTTTGTGTGTCCGAGTAGAGGTCAGCAGGGAGATTCCACGAGTACCGAGGTGACCAGAAAGCCTTAGGGATTAGGCTGAATGAGCACCAGTTGATCGTGGGGTGGTCTAGACTTTTTGAGGTCTTCCTCAAAGAGATGGGTTTGGTCGAAGTGATGACGTGATAGCCTTCATGTTTCAGAGAAAAGCTCACTGCATCTCCAGGCACACGAAGGTAGCTATTTTCGATAGCAGGGTCTCCATTCGCCAACTGATCTGGGACCTTGGAAGAATGGAGGAAATAGGATTGTAGATAATTTTAAATGACATTTTAATTCATTGTAATCTATCCATCCATCTAACTATCTATCTATCTATCTATCTATCTATCTATCTATCTATCTATCTATCTATCTATCTGTTTATCTGTCTTTCTGTCTGTCTGTCTGTCTGTCTGTCTGTCTGTCTGTCTGTCTGTCTGTCTAGCTATCTAGCTAGCTAACTATGTATGCCTGTGTTCAATACCACACATTCACACACAGACGGAAAAAATTAACAACAACACATACATACAACACACACACACCCACCCACCCACACACACACTCATATACACACACACACACACACACACACACACACACACACACACAGACACACACAGACACACACACACACACGCGCATACGCCATCCTACCAGTCACCCCATCACCATTTTCATTATACTGTTTTTGGCTGTTCGCTCCACACCCCCTCCACCCCTTTTTGTGCAATAAACCTGTCACTTCCAAATTATTGTTACACATATTGTGAATCCATCACCTTACAGCAATCAGCCGTGTGTGTTAAAAAGGGTGTGTGTGTGGGGGGGGGGGGGTAGAAAAACTTAATACAATGAAAAAATGCATGCAAAAAGACTGTTTGAACTTTCCATTAAAAATGTACCTCACCCATTTCGCACGTTCGAAGTATCTTCTCTTTATGGGGCCAATTCTGGGAGGCCGTAGACTCATGCACGTACAGCAATTCGAACTTATGTTAACAATACGGAGCCGAAGTAGACTTAATGTTAAAAAGAGGCTGGGTGGCAGGTGCTCTGGTGTGGCTTGCTCCTTCCTTCCTACCAAACATCTATCGTCCTTACTATATCTCTCCTTCTCCTGTAATTTGCATGTTACTATCTAACAACACCTCCAATTTTCGGCACTTATATGACCTGTTTGAGTCGCAAGTGCCTTAACACTATTACTAAAACTAAGACAAGACGAGACAAGACAAGATTAAACTAGATTAGATAAAATAAGATAAGATAAGATCAGATAAGAAAGAAAACTCCCATCACCTCAATGGTGGTATCTCCGTAGATGGCGATTGCCAGGTAGATGTCTGAGAAGTCGCCGGGAGGCGGGAACGAGACGTACGTGTGGGACATAGCGTCCACGGGTAGAGGTTGTTGGAACGTAAAAACCGACATCTGAAAAGTATATATAGTTACTTATAGTTATAGTTATACAGTACTTATATAAAAGTACTTATAGTTAAATTATATCTCCTCAACTATCGAACATAGAAACTCCAGCTTTTACACAGTGACATGTATCAATTTGTCTTAACAGATCAATATTTTTGTAAAGACCTGTTAGCTGTATTCTAAAAAAATTCCTTAACAAATGCTTATACAAAATCCTAGTTGGTGGTTTCTTCTGATTATAAAAGGTTTACAGCTGGAACGATGTCGCTTTTAAAAGCAAGCCCGTCATTTTTTCTAATCGTTAGATTATCTTTATTGAAAGCGTGTTTTGAGAACTTTTAGTGCAACAAAGTGTTCACTATAAAATTAATTTCTTGTAGCTAGTTTTGCCACTTAAAAGTATCATTGGTGAGCTGTGACGTGACCAGATGCGTATACAAAAATATGTGTGAGAAGCGGGAAGTGTTGTGAACAATAATCCCATTTTCTGCGTGAAGGTCACTTGTTGTATTTTATATAAATTTATGAAGAAAAGTTTTTAAATCTAGCCTCAACTGTTGTGGAAATATATGATTAAGTTAAGACAGATTGAGATAAACTGCTGTGCAAAGTATGGGTGATATTGATTCTCACGTTAAAAAATATTTGAGGATAAAAGTTGCGCCACGAAATTTTGACCGCACTAAAGGATAGATAGATAGATCGATAGATCCGATATATAGACCGATAGACCGATTGATTGATTGATTGATTAATTGATTGATATTTGTCTGTCTTGCGCTACGATAGCTCAGTTGGTATCATGCTGGACTACAGTAACTCATTGGATAGCTGTGGTTCGAATCTCAGACTGGGCGTTCTTGAACCCGTGTCGTTTTGTAAAGTTTTCGAGGCCCTAAATCCATATGATTCGTTTGTATCGGAGACAGATGTTAGATGCAGAGGTCTCATAGCATAAATAGCCTCCCCCTCCCCGTCTTCCCTCCCCTACCACCCCCCCCTTTCTCTCTCTCTCTCTCTCTCTCTCTCTCTCTCTCTCTCTCTGTCTGTCTGTCTGTCTTTCTCTCACTCTCTTTGTCTTTCCATTTACATCAAGAGTGTTTGCTCTACACTCTATAGTCCGTTGTACAGTTGACATAATTGTATTTCCGACACTAGTTTTTCACTCATCTCCCCTTCTGAAACACCTGGTCTCACTCTTTGTTTCTGTCTCTGTCGTTGTCTCTATCTCTGTCACTATCTCTGTCTCTGGTTGTCCCTCTCTCTATCTGTCTTTCTGTCTGTCGACCTTTATATTTTGGTCTGTCTGTCTGCCTTACTTCCTTACTTTAGTCTTCCCTCCACCCCTCTCTTTCTCTCTCTCTCGC